CCACCTTAACCACGTGATCAAACGTATGGCCACCAGTGACAGGACAAATGGCACCCTCTGCAGTGACATATCCAGAAGGCCACAGCATCACACAGGCAGTCTTCTTGCTAAAAATCTTTAACCTCAATTGAATGATGAGGAAAGAACCAGACAGATGCCTGGCCTGGACGCTCCATCAAAGACCGAACAAACAAAGCTCTAGTCATGCACGAGAAGTGGGCTGCCGTTTCCCACAGCTGCTCCTCGACGCCCCTTTCAAAGGCTCTCCATTTAGGGTTCCACCCCACCTTCCTCCATCCTGTCCCCTCTCTCCTTCCCTCCACCCCAAGAACACACATATGCATCCGAGGCCAACTGGAGATATCAGAATATGACTACATACAAGGGTCGTAAGACGTTTTATGCAAAAATGGAATGGAAAAATAACAGAATTTTCCATGAACTTTTTGAAGCTCCTTCCTATACGATCACAACAGACTGAATACAGAAGCCGATATGAGAACCTGTCATCTATTCAGACAGACATTGAAAGAGGCTTCTAAAAATGTAAAAAATGTCATCTCCCCAACTCCCTTGGAAAATATGGCTTTTTTGTCCCCACTAAAATGCTATTTATTAGGAGCTCTGGTGGCACAGTTGTTGAAGCACTCGGTTGCCAATCAACAGGCTGGTGATTTAAACCCACCGGCTGCTCTGCAGGAAAATATGTGGCAGTCGGCTTCTATGAAGACTACAGACTTGCTTGTCTTCAAACAAGCAGCCATTTAAATGAGGCGTCAACTAAGTCTACACAGAAGCACACCAGCTGGTATGATCGAAGGATTCGAATAAAATCCAAATCCAGAGGAGGAAACAGTAGCAGAGCTTAAATTCTGAACACGCGGTTTTCTAAAGGCTGTAGACAACACGGAAGCCCCACGTGGATTCAGCCTCCGGTGATCCCCTCGACCGCAGTCCAGAGGTGGGAATGGCCTTGCTATCAGACAGAGCGTACTGCGAAGACGGCTGCCTGGGGCACTCAGGCTCACATGTGACTCCCTGATCACTGACCTCCCTTTTGACCCATTTTTAAGTTGTTCCAGTTTTAATACTTTCTGCTCTTTTTTATTGAGGCTTCTCTGTTTTATTTTGTCATTGTTGATTTTTGTTTGTTTGTTTCTTGATTTTGCTTTATACATTTTAGGGCATATGAACTCCAGGATCCATAAATCTAAATGGTAACTGGATTAATAATTACTACTGGATTAATAATTACTAGGGACATGCCAAGGGAAGTTGAGGGGAAATGGGACCCTAACAACAATAACTCCAAGAAAGAAAAATGTTCTAAAGTTGATTGTGATGATTGCATGACTCTTAGTATGACTTGACCACTGAATTGTATGATTGTGAATGATATGCCAATTAACAAAACCCCAAACCGCAGCCTTGGAAACCCTATGGGGCAGTTCCACTCTGTCATACAGGGTCGCTATGCCTGAAACTGACCAGTGACAGTGGTTTGGGTTGGGTTTGGTGGGTTTGTACCGTGATTTTCAAGTGATTTGGTTAATAAGTGATTTGAGTATTTCTCACGTTACATTAGCTTACATAAATAAAAGCTCTTTAGAGTCCTCAATAATGTTTAAGAGCGTGAAAGAGGTCCTGTAACCAAAGAGTTTGAGTGTCACACACACACACACACACACACACACACACCCGCAGACATGTACGAGAATCTTCACTCACTACAACCCTTCACTCCTTGATTGCCAAGAGCTGGAATCAACCTAACTGCTCATCAGCAGGAAGAAACCCCCGATAAACTGCGTATATTCTTACAAGAATTATATAGCAACTTAAAAAATGAATTAGAACTACCTCTATCAATATGACCAGATCTCTGAAACAATGTTGCCTTTAAAAATTCAGTGCTAATGGATACATATAGTTCACCGTGTATACATAGCAGCTTTAAAACATACATAGATACATACAGTATGCCATGTGTACAGTTTTAAAATCTATACATGTACATGATGAGAGCAAAAGATCACTGTAGAGGTTACTCTAGGGGCGGAATGGCATGGAAGGGGGCCCATGGGAGGCTTCAATTACATGTGGGATGTTTAGTTCTTAAGTAGGATGTTCATTCTATTATTCTGGATACTTTTTTAAATGACTGAAATACATCATAAGTAAAAGGAAAGGAGGTTAGAGACAATAGGTGTTAAGAAGGGAGATACCAGAGGCAGTATTGTAAGTCAAGGGTGACCTAGGCTTGATTCAGGCTGTAAGGGTGCGGGAACAGTTGGTGTGAAGGTAAAGTGATGGGACTTAGATATACCGAGCCTGGGAGACTGTCAGAGTGACAATCGTCTTGGAGCGCTGTACATGCAGGGATGATATTAGAAGGTCAAAGCCAGAGACATGGATTTGGGAGATGCTGAACAAAGAAGGGAGAGTTGAGAGAGGATAGAAACTAGCAAAAAGATACTAATGGGAGGTGTAGGTGTGGAGAAACTTACCCAGAGAGAGCCAAGCTGACACCCAGGGAACGCCCACACCAAGGTGAGAAGATAAGAGTGGAAGGCAACAATGAGTTGTCAGAAAGGGAAGACAGGGAAGGGAGACTAGGATAAGGAATCAGGCCACACCACTGAGTGATTTGCACAATTTCAGCTCACACTGAGAACATCCTGAAAGCTGACCAATCCAGAAGCCTGTTTTTATGGGCTAGAGCAAAGCAGAGGAGTGAAACTTTAATCAATGACTCACACAGATGAATGTGAAGTCCGGACTGCAATGAGAACTACGAAAGAGAGGTCTACGGAGCTCTGAGAGCACGTAATAGGCGGACGTGACAAAACAAGAATACTGAAGTATCAACTCCCCTTTCTTTCACCACGTACATCACACCTTCTTGTCTGGCTCGCTGGACAGAGTATTTCAGACTAATCCTTTTCTTCTGACACATTTTGCAAGTGCCTGCCCTGGTCAAGGCTCCAAAAGAACGAATATTAAATACTTAAATACTATCGATCTGTGACTGATGCCTCACATTTTGTAAAACATGCATTCTATTCTAGGGGAGAGTCGAGACATGTTTCAGGATCTTGCTATGGGTCCCAAAAGCAAGATGAACTCTTGAACAGGTTGGCTTGCTGTCCTCCGCTGAATCCAAGCAATGACCGTGAGATGCACAGGACTGCTCTCAGGGGACGAGCTAGCAGCAAAAGCAGGGAAGGATTGACACAAAACATTCTCACCACCAGAAAGACAAGTCCATGTGTATGCTCCAACAAGAGTAAGCCAGTGCTGTAAGGTTATCTTTGCAAATGAAAAACTAACATTTGCCTGGACACCAATGGTCACAATAGCTAAAAGGCAGAAATAATTTTTTTTGAAATCATTTTTTTGGGGGCTCATACAACTCTTATCACAATCCATACATCCATCCATTGTGTGTCAAGCACATTTGTACATTTGTTGCCCTCATCATTCTCAAAACATTTGCTTTCTACTTGAGCCCTTGGTATCAGCTCCTCATCCTCCCCCCTCCTCCCCCATCCCTCGTGAACCCTTGATCATTTATAAATTATTATTTTGTCATAGCTTACACTGTCTGATGTCTCCCTTCACCCACTTTTCTGTTGTCTGTCCCCCAGGGAGGAGGTTATATGTAGATCCTTGTGATCAGTTCCCCCTTTCCACCCCATTTTCCTTCCACCCTCCTGGTATCGCCACTCTCACCACTGGTCCTGAAGGGATCATCTATCCTGGATTCCCTGTGTTTCCAGTTGCTATCTGTACCAGTGTACATCCTCTGGTCTAGCCAGATTTGTAAGGTAGAATTGGGATCATGATAGGGGTGGGGGGAGCATTTAAGAACTAGAGGAAAGTTGTATGTTTCATCATTGCTACACTGCACCCTAACTAGCTCCTCTCCTCCCCGAGACCCTTCTATAAGGGGATGTCTAGTTGCCTACAGATGGGCTTTGGGTCTCCACTCTGCACTCTCCCTCATTCACAATGATGTGATTTTTTTGTTCTTTGATGCCTGATAACTGATCCCTTTGACACCTCGTGATCACACAGGTTGGTATGCTTCTACCTTCTACGTAGGCTTTGTTGCTTCTGAGCTAGATGGCCACTTGTTTACCTTCAAGCCTTTGAGACTCCAGGCAGAAATAATTGGTGCATTCACCAATAAATGCACAGATACACCAAATAGGTGTGGTTCATACCATGGATGCTGACCGTAGAGGGCAGGGTAGCACTGCCCCTGTGAGTTTCCCAGACTCTAACTGTTTATGGGTACAGATAGCCCCCACTGTTTTTCCCACAGAGCTGCTGATGATTTCAAACTGCCAACCTTGTGGATCGTAGCCCAACTCTAAACCAATACGCCACCAGGGCTGTACTACAAGTGACACACGTGAAGCTCTCAGCCATACAGGGAAATGAAGCCCTGATATACGTCACAACACAAGCAGATGGACCCTGAAAACATTATGCTGCGTGCAATAAGTCATTCACACAAGTATGAGCTCACTTAAATTAAATAGGCAAATAGATAGAAGCCAAAGCACACTGGTGGTCACAGGGGTGGGAGTTTGAGGGGAGGGGGTGATTGCACAGGCACCCAGTTTCTATTCGTGGTGGGGGAATAATTCAGAAAGGGGGAGGGATAGTGGTTGCATGACATGATGAACACAATTATGTAAATTAGCCACACACACACCCTAGATCAGGGGTCCTCAAACTTTTTAAACAAGGGGCCAGTTCACTGTCCCTCAGACCCGTTGGAGGGCCGGACTATAGTTTAAAAAAAACTATGGACAAATTCCTATGCACACTGCACATATCTTATTTTGAAGTAAAAAACAAAATGGGGCAAAAACACCTGGCGGGGCTGGATAAATGTCCCCGGCGGCCGCATGTGGCCCACGGGCTAGTTTGAGGACGCCTGCCCTAGATAATGGTTACGGTATTTTTACCACAATAAAATAACGACTTACATCACGGAACTGAACTTTTCCAAGTTCTCCCAGTTCACTGACGCAGCAGTAAGCCGCTTCTGACTGGAGGAAGAGCTGGGCCAGCGTCATCTCCTCGCTCCGGAACAGCCCCCCCATGGTGGCAGTCAGTGCCAGTCAACGGAGTACCTGAATTCCTCTCCACCTGAGGCAAAAAGAGAAAATCATACCACCTTAGCAATCACTAAGTGGGCCAAGAGCAAATCAGCCCTTAGCAAGGCTCTCTGGTTTTCCATGTTCTTAGCTTCCATTCCAAGCCAACAGGTCTGTAACACTGGTTTGACATCCTGCTTCAGAAGATGGAAAGGAGAAGTTGCAAAGGCAGTTCCTGAACCTTGCCCTGCACCATGCCAGAGGAAAAGTCACTTCCTTTGCAGTCAACACCAAGATCGAATGACAATGTTTGGGGACAACTCAATACATGAGAATGTATCCAGATTAAAGACAGGAACTGGGAATCCCAAGCTGCTCTTTAAATACCCCGACACAATATTACGAGGCAGTCACATTCATGCTGCCCAGTGTTTTCGCCTTATGCTTGTGCAGGAAACATGAGAGCTTGGTGAACCTCTCATAAAAGATGTCTCCCTTGCAGCTCGGTTTCTACCCGGTGCTGACGATGCCAATCTCTAACTGCTAGAGCCCCGGCACTGCTCTAAAACTGCGGCTACCTTAAAGGGTTTAATCTTCCCAAAGCCTCCAAAAACACTATTTCCCCCTAAGGAATTCAAATGTATAAGCATGGTCTACGGAAAAAGGAAGAGAGATAGAAAACCGCTTTACCCCTTAAATTCAATTTCAAATTAAGCAGAGCAGGCAACATGGATAATGACAAAGCAGTTTTTCCCAGCCACAGAAAATAAGCTGTCTCTCATCCTCCACCCTCAAGATTAATTGTATGCTTCCATCTGCCGCGCCTTTTCACACTCCAGACAACAAAGGTTTCCTTTCGGGGAAGGTTTCTTAATGTTTGCCGGGTAATAAAGACAATGGGCGCTATCAGTGGTCCTGAAATGCTAACTATTTTTCTCAAGTCAGCAAAGGGAAGGCCCAGGGTGCCCAGGATCTACACTGGGCACAGTGAATAGTAATTTTATTGCCACGAGGGGACATATTCACTACTGATAAGGGGATATGGCATCAAAGGATAATTTATTCTTCTAGAGAGTTGGGAGATATTTAAAGGAAATTATAATGACAAGCCTTCTATGCATTCAATGTTAGAAGCTACAGGACAACACACTCCAATTTGAGCATGGACGTCTCAAATTATTCCACAGCCTGACTGTAAGGTCGTCTATATGTGGATCCAAAAGGTCACTATGGAGTTAGAACCGATCTACAAAACCGAACGACATACTTGAATCATCCAAACCATCTATTACCAGCCCCACTCACATCCTGCCCCCCCCAAAAACAAGTAGATTCGACCACCTTTAAACATATTAAAAATATGCCTCATCAGCACAGTTCAGAGGCTACCGACAATGATAGCTTCCAATGAGCTGCCTGCCTCCCCTGTTCTTTAATGATTACAGGTCTCCCCGAACAACTCCAGGGAGCCCATCGACCACGATCAAAGCGGTTCTGGGGTCACAAAATGAAACGACAGGACGTTAACAACACTTCTGTTTCATGAGTCCCTAAGAGGCGCCCCCACCTCGGCCTGGGGGACAGGGGTGTCCAAATGACTGTCCACCAGTCCAGCCTCGAACCCGGTATCCACCTGCTTCTTTCCGGCCGGTCCGAAGAGAAAGCCGGAATTCTCCGAGCCCAGACACACCTACCTCCCGGGGAGGGGAAGACGCAAGGGCCAGTGTCCACATTGAGACTTTTGGAAGCCCCCCCAATTGTTCTGCACATCCAGGGGCCCTCTGTCCTTTCCCTACCCCTTCAGGGGGGGCAGGAATTCAGGTCCTTCCGCGGGGAGGGAACCTCGGCCCCTGTGACCCCAGGAGGGATGCCCCGAGGGGGGCTGAGCCCCAGGTGCTCCCGGAGACCCACGTTCCCGCTCCTTCCTCTGGCCAGCGGGAATCCCGGCTGTTAGAAGCAGCTCCCGCGTCCCTTGGAGGACGCTCACGGACGGCGCGTCCCTGCAGCCTCGGCTCACCTGGCGCCGCCGGCCCACCGCCG